TTAGACGCCAACCCTGCAGTGAAGATTTGATAGACACGTCGCTTCAGCAGCCCACAGTTCTCGACTACGTCAAACACCAAGAGCCTTCCTTTCACCTACCGTCGGCTGAATTTTCAAATTTCGAGGTTCGTGAAGTATTTTGTCTTGTGTAGGTAGCAACCTTCAGACGTGATGTTTGGCGGCTGGGATGATTTGTTGGCTTTCACTTGGCGTCTACATAGTACTTGTCACCTCTCTTTGTCACCACCTCAGTACTCTTTGTGACGTGTAAACTAGCCCAACCTATTCGTGTGTACCTCTCCTTCTCATTGTGATTGACTTAGCACTTGTGATAGTTGTGTCTGGTAGGGTTCGTAACACCTACGTTCCTCACTATTCCTTTTGTGCTGATTTGTCGCATATGTGAGTTAGTTGAGTGTTCACACCTTGCGCCAGTATCTTCTCTATGATAATATTATTATTAACATCAGTCAGCTAAACTCCTTCATTCAACAACTGCTTCTCCCCTGATGAGTTCCCGGTACCTTTATGGAACGAAACAAGACTTGTCAGGAGTAACACTACTTGCTTTCGTGGAGTGTGGCTGGTGAACTGTTCGTACCGTCGTCTGCAAGCGTCGTGTGATCTTGTCGGGTCAAATCATAATAATCTTTATTAAGGGATCTCCCAGAGGCGATGGCCTGTCGAGGGGATCTCCTGATGCAAATCATGCAGTAGAAATAAACAGTGAGGAAAACTACACGACGTGTTACAGTATATATGTGTGCTACATAATGATCAATAAACACACGAATAAGGTGCTAAGTGCTAGCGTAGAAACAAGGCGCTAGACGTGGCGCGTACAGACAACGATTTAGCAGAGCGTGGAGAGGAAAACTGTTCAGCAACATTCAAAGAAGCAGAACGAGAACGAATAATACTTCAATGGAGGCTACCTCCGTAACAGGGCTAGGTTGTTCAAAATAAAACAATTTTAAATGTCCAGGGATATACCACAATGAAAACCTATACTACTATTTGACGGACCTATTGAAGATGGCAACATAGAATTACATCATGTATTCATATTATTATGGTTATGCAGTGCAAACCTCAAACTAAGGACCACCTGCCACTAAAGACCGCTTTCTCAGGCCCTAAGGGGTGGCCGTTAGTTGCAGGTTTTACCAAGAGTATTAGGAGGCATGGTTTGAGCTTGTCACGAAGAAATTTCCAAGACGCCGTCGCTTTGCGATATGGCTGGTCTTTGCAGTGTACGCCTAGAGTCCTGCATACTATTAGCAAGAGTACATACCGGTAACCATATTACAGTGTTACCAAGAGTCCATAAACAGTTTATGCACTCTTGGTATTAGCAAGAGTACATAACCTTTTTTTATGTACTCTTGGTATTACCCGGTAGTAGGTACTTCAGTGTACATGTAGTAGTATGCGGCACTGCAGTATGCAGACAATCACGTGATCAGGCGGCGACCAATGCCAACCATTACCATGACTTTTTTTCTTCTTTTTTTTTACAGCCATCACCATGACAGCTACAGGACTTTGGCAGGCATCAGCTCTGCAAATTGCATGCAGGGACTCTTGAGTCCTGACCGTCCGTGCTGCAGCCTGCACAAAGGCTGCAGTGCAGTGCCACCGTCATGACAGTCCTAGACACTAGACACTGCTTGGTCTAGGTCTGTTCAAATACTGTACTGACAATGTTATTACATCAAGTAAGTTAGTTTGTATGACTGTAGCCCCGTCATCAGAGTAGACCATGATGACTCGGCACCATGACTCCATGAGTAAGCATGATGCAGGACAAGACTCAAGTCAAGACAGAGAGGCCGCTAACGGAATGGTCTAAGATTATTGTAGATACATTACATAGATTTACCGTTACATGTATGTGCTGTCAATTTTTTCCTTTCCTCCTTTGCTTCTCTCCTTCCATATTCACCTTCATATTATTGGGCCCGTTTATTTGTGCTATAGGTTACATAAAACACAAGCAAACGCACTTTTGAAGTAAGAGGCGTTACGTCAGAGCTAGGATCTCCATCCTCGCAAGCTGCATCTGATCACCTCTGTCGAGCATTGGCGCTCGCAGCGCAGTGCTTGTGTACAGAGGCAATACCGGCTTCCGATGTGAGTGCATTTACCGCATCTAGGCTCATCCCGTTGGCCAAGAAGCCGTCTGGTGTTCGCCCTATTGCGGTCGGCGAAGTGTTCCGTCGTCTGATCGGTCGGGCAGTAGAAGTTGGTTGTTCCAACTAGGAAGTTGTAGTAGGAACACACGCTTCTTGCCGAACTTGATCTTCCGCAGCCTAATCAAGCTCAACTGGCATGATGAGGGGAGAATTCCCTGAAACACTGTGTATTGAGCAGGGAGTGTTGCTTCAAGTTCTTGCAGGTTTGCCGAGTGGAAGTTGCGACATGCTCCTCGTGTGCTCCGGATGGCAGTCGTGAGTCAGTCAAGCGTCAAGTTCGGCAAGAAGCGTGTGTTCCTAGTTGGAATAACCAACTTCATGAAGAGTAAATGAAATTATCTAAAGCTGGTTCTCTAGCCTAGGTACTCGTGTTGAGTCTTGATACAGTAACAGACTCACAGACTCCTGTTGGGCCCATGCACTGCAGCTACAATACTAGAGACTGTTGAGCCCATGCACTGCACCTACAATACTAGAGACTGTTGAGCCCATGCACTGCAGCTACAATACTAGAGACTTTTTAGAGAGGGTGGGTCATTTTAAAATTGTGCACCAGGCAATTGTGACTCGTGAACGCCTTTCACAACTTCCTCTCATGCTGCATGTACCTGTACTAGTCTGTATTTTCACTGGTTTGTCCGTTACCATGGTTACTCTGTTAGCTGAGCTGTCTGTCTCGCAGCTCGCAGCTCCTGTGCCTGGAAGCCGGCCTCTTATGTGAGCATTTCTACCAGACTCTGAGCTTTCTTACTGGTGGCGACTGCTTTTCATGGCAGTCGATGATCCACCGGCCTCCGGTCTCTGAAATATTTCTTTCCTAAATCTTTACCCCTCGGTATCAGAGCTCTCATTGTCCATCTCGGACCAGATTCCACCTACCCCTTCCCCAAATATCTAACATTTTTTCTGAGTGAGGCGATAACACTGCCCTGTTATCGCCTCTATTCTCACCTATATCCGTTAACTCTCACAAAACAACTCAATACCATCAATGCCACGTCTTCACTTCGCACATCATGCACTAACTTCCACACTAGCACCAAATATCTAGGCCTGCTCGTAGAGAATTCGATAGTGAATGCTGCTGTCTGATGATCGCTCCGATGCGTGAAACTTTTTAAAGTTGTACCCGATCTCCCTCTGATGTACCGCTGACTCTACGCTGAAGATCTAAGCATTTAAATTATCATTCTCATTATAATTTTCACATTCGCTTTCATGTTATTGGGTTCTATGCCCGTTTGAATTTGCGAATCAAAATAAATACAAACAAACAAGTTACAGCTAACACAGCCTTTCGCCTCTGTTGTGTGTGTATGCATGCTCTGTACATTCGTACATTGAGCACTCTACCTCGAGCTTCCTAGACCGGCCTTGTTTGTAACATTTTTTTTGCATTTTTTAAAGTCCCCTCGTGCTTCTTGGCACCTTCATTCGCTTCCTTGTTATTGAGCACCTCTGCTCGTTTGGTCACTGCGAATTAAAATACATGTAAAATCAACAACAACAACAACAGCTCTCACTAGCTACATAGTACTCTGATTCTTTATATATTTTATTTATATATTTCATTTAACTCGTGGTTCATGACCAATTGGCACGCAAAGTGCGAGAGAGGGGTGATAGCCAGGGAGTCGTAAAATACCGTGGTATTTTACGACTCCCTGGTGATAGCCAACCACGGCAAGAAAAGAAAAGAAAGGAATATAGAAAAAGAGAAGAAAGAAGGATAGACAAGCTGGCACGTTATTTCTGCATTTAATAGTGATTGGTTTTCCGCGCCGAATTTCCGACGCTGCATGCATGTCCCATGCGCGTCAACAGTACTTCACACTTTCCTTTTCCCGCGTTATCACCTCAGCTTTGCCAGTTGTGTATGTAGAAAAACCCCTATATATAATAGCAGTTTGGTCTATATTTTTAATCATTCAACATCTACCTTCACTGATGAGCTATGTATTAGCGAAACAGCTGTCTGAAGGAGTTTATCAATATCGTCTACGGAAGTGTCCTCGCAATGGTGATGGTTGTGTGCAGGAGGGTCTAGTCGGCTAAAGAGCGCAGTGTAATGGTGGAGGTGACTCAACAGTTTCTTCAATGGCCGAGAGCTCTGTCGCACCCTGTAATAATAACAACAACAACAAAGAAGTCCCTGGTGCAAGATGTGCACATAGCTAGCAGGTACATGTGCACACTACTTATAAGTTATAGGTGCCTGGCTATGGCGATGTAAAATAAAGCTAAACAAACAAACAAACCAACATAGGCACTGGGTAAGGGCAGTACGTATCTCCGTGTTGAAGATACGCACATGCATGACCATGATATGAATGTAGCACAGTAAAGTCTGTTGTCAGACTGTGCTACGAAATAAATTTTTTCGAAAGCCTACGATCACGTCTTCCATGCCGTTGTACGAGTACGATTAGTAGACAACCCACGTGGTTCAGCCCCATCCTGCCGATCCGAGTATTTATGGCGCGATTTTGTCGCCAAGCCTGCCAGCCACCGGTCACCACTGTACTGGCGCATGGCACCAGTCGAGTCAAGCATGGGGATCGATCGTGTGTTTGTTGTCAGTCCAAAAGTGGCAGAAACAGATTTTGATTCAACGGTACGGGTCCGGGTGATCAGTGTGCACGGACACGGACACCCGAAACCAGGAAACGGCATAGGCCATTATAGCCTTATAGGGGCAGTAGCCAGTAGATCTACACTACATACAGGCCGGGTAGGTAGGTAGTGTCTACCAGGTAGGCCAGGAAAGGCAGGGTCACCTGATCACCACGTCGTGAGGTACCGAAATCAAGGATTCGAATTGCATGCAGCCAGCCAGCAGCCAGAGGTCATCCGGCACAAAATTGTTTCTCAGCATAGCTTTTCACTCCACTCTCTCAATCCAATCAGCCAAGCAGTGTCTTGAAAGACAAAATCTAATCACTTGATAATGTCTAGCCACGAAGATGAAGCGTTGCTGCTGGGCAGAGCCGGCGACCGGCCAATGAGCAAACAGATGGAACTGGTGCGCGCCTGCGGAGCGGAGTTCATGGCCACTCTGCTGTTCGTACTGGTAGGAGTGACGGCCGTGCGCGGCAACGAAGTGAACGAAGGTGTGAACGTCTTGCCCGTGGCTCTGGCGCATGGCTTCATGATCTTTCTACTGGTGGCCATGACTGCGAACGTGAGGTTAGCGAACACCAGTCGGGGTATATATGTACTCAATGTCATTACAGTTACCAGTGGGTCACAGTTTGCTGATCGGCAGGGTCTTTTAGGCAATGAATTACGTACATAGTCATTGTACGAAGTACTACAGTCCATTCAGAAAAAGATGGACTTCCAGCTTTTGGCCATGCGCGCTTTGGCCATAAACGGGTCAAACTTTGAGTTTTTTTAGAATTTTTTCTGCCATCCCGTAGGGAATCCTCTTCCAATTATGTTTCTAAAGTTTGTCCAAAAAGTAAGCCATAGCAAGAATAGGATTTCGGCCAGGTTTCCCCCAAAAGCACTGAATCGGGAAAAACCATCAAAATCCAGGCCGTTTGACCTCGCCTGCAACAGTGCGTTGTGCGGTTCAAACCCCAGTTCAGGTACCTTTTTGGACCCTCTTTCAAATTTCAAAGTTCGCAGCACTGCACTGTGTACGATGAAATCACGAAAAATCGCCAAATACGGGAGCTCGCCAAAGCCAGGGCCCATCTTTTTATGAATGGACTGTAGTAGTCGTTGATATGGACTGCCCCCCCCCCCCTCCCCCCCCCCCCCTTCACGGCAGACGTGCACAGCATATCGGTCATGCAGTCATTAGATTTCTCTGGTACTGTACCATATTGGAGTGCCCGGACCTGTACGTGTGACACTGAGCGAGTGATCACAGGTGCACTGATAGTCACCCTTATATACGGTACGGTGACATCACACACCATCGGCATAGCAGAGACCTGGGACTGGGAGGATAGCCTGATTGATTTGAGGGGTCGGCCCAGTCAATTCAAGGCACTTTAAAACGCCTCATACATCTCGTCCACAGTATTGCCGGGTGCACAAGAACTGGGGTGTCAGGCAGCCTCGTGTCGTAGACCGTTCTTATTTCCATGTCCACGTACAGCCGTGTATGCACAGTTGAGTCACTGTGTATACATCGGCGTGCTGTGTGCTGTGGGCTGTGTGCTGTGCGCTGTGTGCTGTGCGCTGTGTGATGTTCTTGGTGAAATCCTAGTCTGTTCATTCTGTGGCGCTCCGTTCTTCAGCACTTTATTCTCCGACACCCGCCAGTACTACTGTCAGTACTGGGTAGTGTGTAGTGTGTACTGGGTAGTGTGTAGTGTGTACTGGGTAGTGGGTAGTGTGTACTGGGTAGTGGGTAGTGTGTACTGGGTAGTGGGTAGTGTGTACTGGGTAGTGGGTAGTGTGTACTGGGTAGTGGGTAGTGTGTACTGGGTAGTGGGTAGTGTGTACTGGGTAGTGGGTAGTGTGTACTGGGTAGTGGGTAGTGTGTACTGGGTAGTGGGTAGTGTGTACTGGGTAGTGGGTAGTGTGAAGTGTGTTGTGTGTAGTGTGTAGTGGGTAGTGGGTAGTGTGTAGTGTGTACTGGGTAGTGTGTACTGGTTTTTTTTTTTTTTTTTTTGATAATTAAAGCCTCTTTTACGGGCGAACAAAACACAATTTGCGTGGCGGCGGCGCGCGGAGGATTGGAAAACAAATCACTTAATGATGACGTCACATGTGATCAGAGAGCAAGAGAAGCATAGCATAGTCCGCACAATCACGGGCCAAGGCTCAACGGGACACCCTAGCCTCCACGACAGCCAGGGAGGCACAGCCATCCATTGGAGGCTGCCAAACTCGGCGAGCCCCACGCAGACACATGACACTCGAACGCAGCAGGGCGAAAGACAGCCTGCAGCGGAGGTGGGCAATTAGCACAGAATACGCCTCCCTCCCACGTAGCGACTGGAGATGTGCAATCCGGCTCACCAGTGCAGCGGCACCCTTGCCGCATCCTCCGGTGGAAGAGAGCACAAAGGGGAGAAAAGTGGATCGCTCCACTTCTCGGACTCTCCGATCGTATCGACGCCGTTTCTCTTGCTCGTGGTGCCGGTAGCAGGCAGAGAGAGAGGAGGAGGTGCGGTTCGAAGACGCATAAGGGTTGAACACCCGTACATCAATAAAAGTGCGTTCGAACCGACCCCCCCCCCCCCAAACTCCACTGGCCACCACATCCAAACGAGCTTGATCCTCGGTTGATGCAGACCGGAGCTGAAACTGCTCCCCAGTCAGGGGTTGGAGATGTGGCTCCACTGCGACGTTGTGGGCGACACCCTTCAATGAGCTTGCCAGTATGTCGCGCACCTCGTTGTGGCGGATCGAGGGGAACCCACCGAAAGGACAGGACAAGGCGTGAGCAGTGGTGAATGCCTTCTCGCAAACACAGGTGGTGGGCAGGCGAGAAGGCGTCCAACCGTAACGGAGGCAGAGGCCATCCCGGAATTCCCCCTTCGACAAAGCGAAGCCATGGCGAGCGATGGGTCGGCAGGTGAGCCAGCTTGATGCTCCCTTCTCCTCTGCCAGACTGATAGCGAGATCAAGTTCGCTGTGCTCGGTGCGGAACGTATCGGCAGCTATCTTCATTGCCTTTCTGGCCTCAGAGCGAGCCTGACTCTTGGCCCTGCGGACACAGGCAAGAGCATCATCGAGGTGCTCCTCTTGCGCCATGATCTTGTCGTACAGGGCAGTGGTGATTAGCCTGGAGGTGTCATACTGTGAGCCAAAAATGGTAGGGTTGGCCACGCCGAGGCCTCCATGCCGGCAGGGGAAAGTGAGCAAAATGCGCTCAGCTTCACTGGGCGCCGTCCGTCCACTAATGGCAGGGATTAGGCGGCGGTGGATGATGTCCTCCAGGGGTGCCAGCTGTTCTGCAGCACCATCGAGAACCCGACACAGGAAGGACCAGCGGTGTTGGAGGCTGTTCACCAGTGCAGAGTAAGCTGCTTGAGGCTGTGACCGGGCGAAATCTGTCAGCTTGCACAGCTCCTGCGACCAGGTGGCCACCTTGGAAGCCACAAACTCCTGCACAAACTGATCAGTTCCGATGGCTGATCCAAGGTGGCGGCACCCGTCAGTGGTGATAGACACACCCGTGCCGGCGAAGATGGTCTCGGCTGCCTCTAACTTGTCCCGTTTGACGACGAGGACGGACTTGCTGGGGTTAATGAAATACCCGAACGCCGGCCCATCCCCGACGAGTCGGTCCCACCACTGGCGGAGAGGGTTGAGCCCGCCACCCGCGGACGAGTCATCCGCATACCAGCTCTGGCGTGTTCCTGGGGTTGCCACTCTGCGCACCAGGGGGAGTACCCCCAAAGCGTACATCGGCATAGCAAGAGGATCTCCCTGCGCTGTGCCTTCTCGCGATAGGAGGCACTCCCCGTCCACGAATAGGCGGGCTGGCTTACGGTAGCAGTTTACGATAGCGGGTGTGATGGCTGGACAGAGGTGCGCTACGTTGCGCATACATGCTTCTCTATTAAGGCGATTGAACGCATTGGATGCATCCGCCATTAGCACAGCGTCTACGCCTTCTTCGTGGAACGTGTCGTGCATGGCGTGAATGGCCGCCTCAATGCCACACTCCTGGCCTCCGCACATCTGCAGTGACCCTGTCGCCTCACGAACAGAGTCCCCCGCCACGCTCAGAATAGCCTTGCCGATAATACGACGGACGGTTTCGCCGATGCCTATTGGGCGCACACCCGGTTTCTTATCTAGAGGGATAAGCCGGCATGCCGTGTAAGCTTCCATCGATGCTGGGTTGACGTACTGAGTGGTGATTCGCCGTGCACAGCTGGCGAGAGCATCACATAGGTCATCTGAAATGTCCCCAAACGCTGTGCACATACGCCTCCAGCCATCTGCGTCCATCCCAGACGGCCCTGCAGAACCGGTGGTATGCAGTGCAGCTTGGCGCACTGCGGTCCTGTCCAGCTTGGTGAAGAGCACTGGGTGGGGCTGTGCTGGGGGTTGCCCTGGGAGGAGAGCCGCTGCTGTGACTGCCTCGCCCTGTGGGTGCTTACTGCGCAGCACATCAAGCACGGTCGTCTCTCAAATGGTGTCGTCAAGATCAAGAACTCCACCACCCGTGTCGGGGGAGAGTTGACGAGTGGCTGCCGAGAGCCTGCCACGCTCAATGTCAGACGCAAATCTGCGTGCCGGGTCGACCGTGTGTCCCTCGTGCCGTGCGTTTCGCCTGCGGGCCTTGACGATCTGGTCTTGGATAGTCATGGATTCTTGGAGTAGCACCTGTACGTCTCCGGAATCCCACGAGGCAATGCGGCGCTCGATGCAAACCTTGTGAGCTGCTGCCGCTACGGTCCCGCCAGGTTTCTGAAGGAGCAACTGCTGCATCACCATCGCTGTTTTCAGGGCGTAATCAGCTGCACCTGAGGAGTTGTTACCAAAGGCGTGGAAGTGTGAACTCAGCATACGGATAAAGGTTCGGCCCGTGCTGCCCATTGGTACGTCCAACAGGTTTGGGGCAAAATGAACTACCTTCTCGTACGCGTCGGATATCCGGTTGGAGAACGTGGGACCGTCCAGATCTCCCGTTCCGAGT